ATATTTTGTCCATGAAGGTAATTCGATATCCTGATCACGAGTATGACATTCGTTTGTGACGCTGGCGCCATTTGGCGCCACCATCTTTCTCACAGAAATCGGTCTTGCATACTGGAGTTATTCGGTACCTTGGAGTTCGGCCGTTAGACGCCATTTTGGTGCAGCACCATTTTCATCTGAATCAAAAAAAAACTGCATAAATGGGTTGTTTGATGCCTTGATCTTGCAAAAGGTATTCATTTTCTGACACCATGGCCATTCAGCGACCTGCTAAGGCTCAGAATGGGAGAGGAGTGATTCACTTCAGGCAAGGCTTAGCCTTAACAAAGCGAAACTGATCTCTGTGCGCTCTGCTAAGGCCCATTAGCGCTAGCGACCAGCATTAATGTCATATTCATAAGCGCGATGTCAGTTATCCCTCGCGTACAAGTTTTCAGCGGATTTGGTGATCTAGGGTATTTTGGCACCGAAGCCTGGCACGGGCAGACCCAGGTTGAGTGGATGTGATATTCGTGTTCAGGAGGTCGTACTACCCCTACGTGCAAGTCTTCAGTGAATCAATGATTTAGCGTCCTTGGTGCGGGCGTCAGGCGACTTCAAGCCAGCCTATGTTATATTCGTGTTTACGAGGTCTAGCTACCCCAAAAGCGAAATTCAGCCAGAACTGCCCCTCTAGAGAGAAATTCGGTCGAAATAAGGCCTGTTTTCGGAAGACTGGGATAGAAATAGTTGAATAGTGCCGAATGTTACTATTTGATATTGTGAGTAACCAGCAAGGAAGGATGTAAGTTCCAGCGTAGCAGATGCATCCACCTCGTCATCGGCCAAAACTATCGTACGATAAAGGACGATGCGTTCCTGTTGGTTGGAAACCATTAGTAGTTGACCCTCGTGTGCGGAGTTACATCTACGCTAGAGCTAAACGCACTTGCTTAGAAGCTAGAGATCGTAAGTACTTAACCTAATCATTGAGTGGTTCAATAACGAGCAACTTTATAAGTTGAACTTTCTGGAAGGCTTTTATTCACTCACGGTACTGAAGTAGAAACGGCTAGATATTTATTCGTTTATACACTCGAGAAGAGGCGCGGGTGATGCAGTGGTAAATGGCGCTTGGGATTATCTGCAATCGCGTTTTCCGTATCGGCTCCCGACCATGCAAATCAAGCTTCTTTACCTCCGGAGGCGATAAACTGGTGCCAGATTCGTCTGAAAAGATAAGATCAACATCGTCCTACTTCCTACCTTGTACACTGGCTGCCCATGCAGGTCTTTGTGTACGCCACGTCGCCGTCAGTAAACGACTAGGCCTGAATAGGAGTAGAATGCCTGCCGCATCCGGGTAAAGATTGATAAACGGTGAAGACTTAATCCCTTATCGCTCGAGGTATGCTCGAATATACCAAAATATCGGAAATATGGTGAATAATAGGGAAAAACGGTAGCATCAATTGCAAATGGGCTTGTGCTTATTGTATTCGCATTGTTTCGTCTTGCGTAGCTGGTATGGAGTTTTCAGCTCTCACCATGAGCTTTCAATTTTTAGATTCATTAAGGACAAGTTTTTCTTTTTTGTTGGTAAAGGTTTTCGTAACCATTTGAAAGGCTTTGTCGTTTGGCCACACTATGTAAAAGGGAACGAAGGAGTACGAGAAGAAAAAAATTCCCCCGGGGACGTTCCGTTGAATTATTTCTGCAGCTGATCTATTTCATTCAAGGAGAAGCTCAAAGAAGAGCAGCAGAAGAACGCCAGCGTGAGCGCCAGCAGATGCGTGAACGAGTTGATGAGGATTTAGAGGCATGTGAAGCTGAAGTAAGTCCTGCGCTTCATTTATTTCGGAAAGATTTAGAAATAGGTCCGTTTTTGCAATGTTGAGGTGAAGGTATGAAGGAAGAAGTAATTTCTCGTCATTTGCATATGAAAGTTTCCACAGTCCTATATAAATTTGGTTCTAATCATTTTATATTCCACAACTTTTTACTGCAAGATCTGGTACAAGTGGGCCCTTTTCTGTAAGCTCGTGAATGCTTAGGGAAAACCAAATTGCTCCTTCCCGCCTCAGTGTTGAGTCGACTCATTTTGTAGGCAGTTTCAGTTTCTACCTAGTTTGCTATAGTATGGTTTTTTTGTCCCCGAACGCCTTGGTGTATATTCCGCTCTCCTAGAATGTAGGTTAGATCTGTATGCAGATAAATCTCGCAAACTAATTTGACGGGTTTTACAAATTGGGGGTCAAACATGCAATCTAAAGGCACAACTTTCACAGCTAGAACGAGTGAAGGCTCGCCGTGATGAACTAGCAGCAGAAAAACACGAATGCTTCACAAAACTCATAGCTTGCCTTCAACGAGAGTCGATGCAGAAGAAAGCGGAAGATGAGCGCAAACGGAGGGTAAGTTTTCTCATTGGAGGATATTTTCCAAATCTTCACGCTACCAGTTTCTGAATTCATCTTTCGCGTTTCAGGAGTTACTCACGCTTCAAATACAACAACCGTTTTTGGCCGCAACAATTCAAGCTCAAGCGCAGGCCCAAGCACAAGCACAAGCAAACAGCCTGATCTCAAACCAGCACCTGCTTACGCAACAAAATCTTCTATCGCAGCATTTCTCTGCGCAGAATCTCTTGAACCAGCAGGCATTGCTTCAACACCAACAGCTACTGGCAGCGCAAAAGTTCCAAGAGCTTGCTCAAGCTCAGCGCACTCTTGTTCAACAGCAACAAAATGCTGCCCAAGTTACTGCGCAGCAAGCATTACCGGCGGGAATATCACCAGCTTACCTACAGCAAGCACTCGGTCAAGTACAGGTACCAGTTATATTAATTTTCCTGGAATCTTTTGTTCAGAAAGTTTCAATCTAGGGATTGCTGCCCGGAGCTGCTGCATCAGGTGCCTGGTTTCACTGCTGCTGCGCCGGTGACTAGGTGGGTTACGCTGTTCATCGGTCTTTCTTGTACATTCTTGCACATTTTCTGCAGCCTCTTTGTTTCTTTCGGGTATTTATTAGGCTTCCTCTTGTTTCCCAGTTTTTTCGACGAAGATGAGCACTTTCACGTATTTAAAGATTCTTTTTTTTTACAAAGACGGACATCACTGTAGTTAAGAGCAGTACAGATGTAGACAGGCGTTTAGCGCTAGGCCGATGTTTGCGTCTCTCGGCCACGGACTGCGATGACCGGAAGAAGGTCGAAGGTGGAGGCCCGACTTATGGGTGTGCAAACAACACCCGAAAGAGGTCTTATGGCTCGTCCGGTTTACGCATAAATGTACCTTGAACTTGCATCATATATGTCGTCGTTCCCTTTCGTGCGAGATTTCCATTGGAACTCTGCTCGCCGTTCATGGCATGTTCACGTGTCATGCCTTTTTTTTTCTGTTTTTGTTTACTATTGCAATTAGTATAATCAATACAATTGCAGAAGTACAAGTTCGAGATAGAATACTAAAAAAGCCGTAGGATATACAAAAAAGGTTGGGATCCCTAATTCAATGGACGGACTACCTACGTCGGTAAACACAAACACGGCTTTCAGCGGAAAACCAGAAGCGGAGCAGATTGACAAGCAGTTGGTGGAGGTCGAAATGAGCTATAAGATGCTGAAGAGCAGCGAATAATAGCTAAGGGGAATGGGGGAGGGGATGGAGGTAAATGGGAGCCACAAGTAGAGAGTAAGGGCAATGCTCCACCAGCAATGCACGCCACTGTGGAGCCTGTGGATATCAATTCTCCTTATTCCACAATACGATTAATTTCTTCTAGTCGGATACTTATGCGACTTCCACCTTGCCACGTTAGCTATCCTTACTGCATCAATTTTTCTGTCAGGGATAAATACTATCTTGCTTATTTATATCTCTATGATGTATAACATGCTACGTTTCTTTGCTTTAGCTTGTTTGTTTGATTGTCTGGAAAATCCGGTACTGACGAGCCAACCGGAGATTCATGACGGTGGATGGGTTGGGTTTAAACAACATGTGAAGAGCATTCATGAGCTATGCTAAGCCCTGCCCGTATTGCGCGACATGTGCGCTGGAAGTTATTGGTATCGCTGGTGAAGTCATAGTTTGGTTCCAGGGCAACCTAGGGATGGGGAAAAAGTGGATCAAGGCCTATAAGGGGTGGACAAACTATCGAGAGAGACACCCCGAAAGGTTTGGGCCGTGCAGCTGGGCGCTGCTTCCCGCAAAATTCCTTAACTCGGTTCTCAGGAGGCGGTTTAAGTTGCGAAGAAAGTCCGATGGGAAAAGAGGCAAGCGGCATGGGCGGTACAGGACGCGGCTATGGCGAGAGTGTGCAAGTCGCAGATCAGGTGGCTGTTGAGACACTCCTCCACGTGGTGAGCATTGCCCTCACAGCCACTGAGATACCTTATTTCAAAATTGTGGTTCGCCGTTCATACTACTTCGCAGAGACCGGGGCCGAAAAGTTGAACAAAGGCCAAAGCAAGGGGTCAGCTGTTTAAAGATATGGCGGACAACCCGTTGTGAGCGGGCCTACGCTGAGGTGATCGCGTCAAGCTTTAAAAATCGTAAGACGGCTTCGGCAAACCGACTGGTAATTGGTAATTTGCTAACTTCTAAGTCCCAAAAAGTTTTCAAGAAATAGATTAAACTTTGTTGCGACCCGTACGTGATTTAGCGTTGTTCGAGTTACGTCCAAAAGGGAACTGTAATCTTGCCATTAGAGACAATCAAATTCAGCACGTTTTGTTCAACAAAATGTGCTCAAAGATATTCGTTTTAGGGGCACGCCACCTGTTGGAAACCATTTGGTGTTCGGTCAATTTGCTGTCGAACCACCAAAACCACAAGTACAGCCGAGCAGCTCTCAGGCGCAGCCAGGTCTTGTAAAACCGGAAGCGCCTAGTCCTCAGGTTTCGCCAGCACCTCAAACTCTCACACAGCAATCATTCGGCTTGCAAAACCTTCCTGCATGTAAGTTATTTTTTTCCTATTTCCGAGTTCTTTTATGGGATATTGCTTGGAAGTATATGAT